AAGAATTTTAAAAACATGCAATACTTAACTATTTATTTAGTCAGGGGTACTGATCTCTTTCCCATTGACTATCAAAAAATGACAACAGCCAACACAACAGCCATCAGTTGTAAATGAATCAAATTATACCTATTTTTGTCAGATTGGAAAAGTATATATAGTTTTGGTGTGCTGTAGAATTTTAGTAATTAGTTTATATGTGCCATGAGATGAGAAAGGTTGAAAATTGTTGGATTATTATATATTATAAACATAACTTTTGTATGTCTTGGCAAAACAAAAAAATTAGTATAACTCCCCTTATTATGATACTTGCTTTATTATGGTGACCCAGAGCTAAATGCAATATCTCTGAAGTACACCTGTATACTTTCTGCACAGGTATCTCTGTTTTAGAATCTCTTTTCTGACAAACCTGACTGAAGGCAAATTCACATATTCAGTATGCATTCAGTTACATAGAGAGTATATGTTAAATGTATATTTTAAGTGAGATATATGTGTATGTGGCTTAAATCATATATCATATGTATATGAATTTCACTTAAAGTACATATTTTAGCCATGCAATTATTTGACCTGCCTAAAAGATACCTTGTTTTTTTGCCTTGGCTGGTGTGTCTCAGTTGATTGGAGGGTTTTCCCATAAACCTAAAAGTCATGGGTTTGATTCCTGGTTAGAACACATGCTAAATTGTGGGTGTGCACCAGAGATAACCAAGCAATACTTCTCTGTCACACTGATATTTCTCTAGCTCTCCCCTCTTCCTTTCCCTCTCCCTAAAATCAATGAAAATGTTCTCAGATGAGGATACAAATAATACAAATATTAAAAATAAGAGATACCACCCTGGCTGGTGTAGCTCAGTGGATTGAGCGCAGGTCTGCGAACCAGAAGTTCACAGTTCAATTCCCAGTCAGGGCACATGCCTGGGTTGCAAGCCAGTTTCCTGCAGGCCAGTTCCCAGCAGGGGATGCACTAGAGGCAACCATACATTGATGTTTCTCTCCCTCTCTCCTTCCCCTCTAAAGATAAATAAATAAATATTTAAAAAAAATAAATAAGTGATACCTTGTTTTGACATATTTATTTTTAAATCTGAAAAAATCATTTAGGAGTTTTATAAAGTAGAAATTCCTAAACAGGGGTGAATGCAATAGAGAATTCTGCCAATACAATATTCATTAAGATCGACTGCCACAGGATTAGATTCTCTGATGGCCATTGTTCAGGTTTTATCTGTTTCTAACTGCACTTTTCGGCACTGCAAGCAATGAGAAAAGATGGAGAGACATCAATAAATAAGTGTTAGGACGTGCTATATTATTAACTATAGGTAAAACCCCAGTAGAGTGCCTATTTGCTATGCAGTTCTGTTCTATTTTTAACCGTGTTGGCTTCAGAATTTTTTTCCACATAACAGCTGATATTTTCATAAAAATGAGACTATGACTGACAGAAACTGCACAAGAACAAATCGTCTATGATTAATCACAACACAAATTGTTTATGCTAGCTTTCAAGTCACCAAGACAAGATCCAGCTAATCAGTCTTCTGAAGCATTTGATACAGTTTAAACACCTGTAAAATTTCATGATAATGCTAGCATCCCTACCTACTCCAACTTGTTTAAACCAAAGAGCATGTATCACTGCACAACGAATAGAGTGTATTTAAGCAGAAAGTTCCTTGAACTTCACTGAAAAGCAGTAGTTGTTCTGCAAATTTATACAAGGTAGGACTGGCATGAGATTCACATTTGAAAAGTATTTTTTTTTAACTGTAGAAATTTGGGATTCTGCTTTTTAATTTTATTCTTCAAAGTAGCTATTACTTTCTACTGTGCTGGCTTTTAATTATTTTAATATATCAAAAAGAATATTTTCTAGGGGAGAATGTCTTTTAAATATTCAGGGTAGCATATGCTCACATACCTCACTATTCATATGTTTATATAAATATGATAGCTTCTTTTAAGATTTCACATAAAAATGCTGGTTATGTAGAAACATTTGATACCCTGAGCAAATGGGAAAGTGACATTTACTTATTTAAAATGTAAGTGAGTTCATTATGAATTGGTGACATAAAAATATAAAAAAGACATAGAATTACTGGGAGTCTAAATGAAATCCTATTTAATAATAATAATAACACACTCACTTTTTAATTTTAATTGTTGTTCAAGTACAGTTTTCTGTCTTTTACTCCCATCCCAGCCCACCCGCCCAGCCCTCTCCCCTCCCTCCCATTTCCACCCCCTCGTGTCTTTTATACTTGTTCCTGTAAACCCTTCCCCTTTTCCCCTGAAATTCCCTCCCTTCTCCCCTCTGGACACTGTCAAACTCACTTTTTTTGAGGAATTACTATGTGCCAAAGCCCTGTTAATATATAATGTGATTATTTCTATTTAATTGGTAAAGAAATTGAAGACCACAAAGGTTAAGTTACTTTTTAGAGTTATAAAGCTAAAGGAGCAAAGCTCACTGAAATTAATATGTAATTAGAGCAAAATATTTTGCATCACTCTTAATAAGTACTGATTGAGTTTATTAGCACATGGAACTGAGAGCTCTTGTTTTATATTCCCCCTTTTTAATTAAGATATAATAGACCTATAACATTATGTGAATTTCAGATGTACAACATGATGATTGAATATTTGTATATATAGTGAAATAATCACCACAGTAAGTCTAGTTAACATCTGTCACCACACACTGTTACAATTTTTCTTGAGATAAGAACTTTCAAGATTTACTCTTAGCAACTTTTAAATATGCACTACAATTGTTATTTTAAAGCTAGTACACTTTTTTTTCTCTTAAGAAAATAACCTGGGATATTGTATATCAGGAGTTGGCAATCTCTGGCAGACAATAACCCATGAACCAAATTTGCCCGGGGCACTTCCATTTGTAAATAAACTTTCAATGGAGCTCAGCAACATTCACCTCTCTTTGATTTTATCTGGTGTCTTTGGCTGCTTTCACACTACAATGGTAAAGTTGAATAGTTGAGACTGATACAGAACAGGCCTGGCGGGGGGTCAATGATATACTATTGCCTGAGCTCCGGGGGTCCTCCACCCCATACTAGGTTCACCTTTCCTGCTGTCAGGGAAAGACGTCTCTCAATGCCAGAGATTGTTGAGAAGGAAAGAGATGATTTGTTTAAAGAGTTATACAAACTTAAGAGTAATAACTTAAGGTCTTCATTGAGATCCCAAAATCCTTTAGAATACCCACAAATGCACAGTCCTTCCTTCCCCCTCTGCCCAGTCTGGGGTACCATATCTCAGAAAAAGAAAATAGAAGCCCGTGATTCTTCTTTGCCCAAGCCACATGGTCCCAAAAAGACCCTTGGTTCTTCTCTGCCCAAGCCACTTGGTTCCAAAAGGACACCACATAGCTGCCGCACCTGGGTTTAAATCTCAGTGCCAATCTTCCTCTGCCGTACCATTTCCAACTGCTCACACACTTGGCCACAGCTGCCAGCATTCCCTATTTTTCCAGCTTTACTGGGCTGCCATAGTAAATCCGGGTAGGTGTGGCCCTGTGGTGTAGAGCCAATCATCTCCAAGCTCTTCTCAATGGCCCTGCTCCATGCATCCCATCCCCCAGCTCAGACTTATGGGGGTAAGGACGTCATATGTAAGGGACCGGTTTGTCTTGGCCTGGCAAATGTGACTCGGCTCTGTATGGAAAACCTACAGATGCGAAGTGGTGGACAGGAGCCAGATCTCCAAACCAAGTTTTCCTGTGGGAATCAGGCCTAGAAAATGCATACAGATTGTTATGGCTTGCTCTTGCTAAAACTCCATCACTCTGGTCTAAAACAACAGATGTGTATTGTCTATCTTCAAGGTAATATCCAAAACCTGTAAGAGTTCTCCCAAGGACAGAGCTGATGAGCTCATTGTCATTCCCCTCTGCATGTTATTTTCATTTTCTTGATTGTACCTAGAATGTAGACAATAATATTTTATGTGATAGATAATAAATCTTTGTTTAATGTAAGACCCCAGGAAAACAATAAAAGCCTGTCTAGGCAAGGGTCATGGTACTCCCCTCTTGAGGGAGTAGTCGTGCCTGTTCCCTTTTTCCACACAGGATTGTTGTCACCTGTGCATTTATTCTCATCCATCAACCACAATGGGCAGACTCTGCTGGCCAGGGTCTGCAACAATCATATATATATATATTTTTTCTAACATTTCCTGGACACCGAGTTCTGGACCCCATTATAAATTCCTATATGGGCCCTGCCCTTGACCGCACCCTGTTACAAGACAAAGACTGTATGACCGACCAAAGCCAAAATACTTATCTATTGGTTTTTCCAGAAATTATTTGCTAAGCTCTGTGGTGTACACCACTTATCTAAACACTTAGTTCCCATATTCAGAAATAGAAACATTAATGCCTTTTAATAGTACTGTCTGTTAGTACATTTCAAATTACCAAATATGATCTGGGATATAAAATCTGAGCTGAAGGAAAAGTTTAACCCAGTACAAGATCACATTTCTTCCTATAATACTTTTTGAACATAATTCTTTGATTATTTTAATGTATAGGCATAAATAATTGGAAGGAGAAGTATATTAAGTGAAGGAACCAACTGAGCTGCTTGATATGTATTTCTCTCCCACTGTGGTTTGTTGTTTTAACTAATCTCTTGATTTTGAGGATTTTGAATTCCGACCTCTCACTTGAGCTCTGTTTTATGTGGCTGTTGGCAAAGTGTTGTAAATATGCGAGATCATTTGTACTCTTTCGACAAATAGAGATCTTGAGAAATAACTATTATTTGTAGTTACCTTCTATCATTGAAATTTCTCTGTGAATCAGTTCTGTAAACTCAGTATAAAATGAATATCGTGATAAGCAATAAAACCATTAAGAAAGTGCATCTTCGGTTAGTTTTTAGATGTGTATGCTTCAAAAGCCACGGAACTCATAACACTGTCACTTTGTTGCTCTTATTTTTTCCTAGATTTGGATGATCCTGTAGTAACTGTTCATCAAAGTATAGGTGAAGCTAAAGAACAGTTTTACTACGAGAGAACAGTGTTCCTCAGGTGTGTTGCCAACTCCAATCCACCTGTTCGGTACAGCTGGAGACGCGGCCAGGAGGTGTTACTACAAGGATCTGATAAAGGAGTTGAGATTTACGAACCCTTCTTTACCCAGGTAGGAATTCACATATAATATACCCACCTCACTCTGATAGTACATTTTCCTAATTTAAGTGACATATAATATTTATTTCTATTTAAAAAGATAGTTCCATCAAACCTGGCCTTTTTAAAAAACAGTGTTTTTGACTGAATGATGAGACTCAAATAATGAAGAAAATTTGTTTACCTTTTACATGGTAGTTTAGTTTAAAATGTTAACTCTCCAAAAAATTTCAAATTAATCATCCTGACATATATCTTTGTTAAAGGTTTACCTAGATTTCACTATAAAATACATAATTCTACATTTGCTAGACTGTTTTTTTTTTATGTGGAGAATATTTCTTAAAATAAGAGACTCTGGTTTTCCCATAGCAATGGTAAATGAGTTTTAAGGGAATGAAGAATCTACTTGAAATTCATTTCACGTTGGTTTTAGAAAAAAAAGTAATTTCATTTGTTTTTGGTTTTTAATTTTTTATGAGTAGAGCCTTAATTATGTAGAAATTAAAACATCTAATGAGTCATTAAACACTTACTTAATAAAAATAAAAATTGAATTTATTTTCCATAGAGTGAAATTTTCTTCTATTTGAATATCAGATTTTGCCATGCTGCTTAACAAAGGCTTTCTCTATCTTTGCATGTGCTGGTACCTCTGTTGTGGGGCTGAATTAGTTCTTTTAAAAATATTTAACAAACAAACAAGCTTTTCTTGCCGTTCTGTGATTCATCTGCTGCAGTTGATAATTTCCAGTAACATGCAGTTCTAACTCCTATTTTAAAATATCTTTCCTGCCTTCGGTTACTAATTATGTACTTTATCTCTTTCTGAAATGGCCATGTTTTTATATCTTCCTGAATAATTATGTAGGAGAAGAAATATGACAATTCTTTTATGTTATATATGTACTTAATTTGTTAATATTAAATATATTTTATAGGCTAAACAACAGAAACTTCCAAATAGCAGCAGGTAGAAAATTCAGTTCTTATAGCCACAGGAAATATTGGCTTTTTTGTAGATGAAAGGTTATCGATGATTTTTCTTCATACCTTACACGTTGAGATACTGCACCTGGGCCAGACATGCACCCCCCCACCCCATGCTATGGATTAGGATAATAGGTTTCTAACCGGCTTAGTGCTTCTTTGGAGGAAACTCCAAACCTCTGAGTGATCACTTAAAATGTAAACTTTTTTCTGCTGTAATCTCTCTAGTGGATATGAATATTAATAAAAACTGCTTGGATGGTTTAAACAAGTAAATATCTCTAGTGTATTCAGTGTATTGTATTGTACCCCATAAGACCATGTTTGATCTTGCTCTGCCTTGCTCTCTCTTACCTAATCCTTTAAATCTCATACACCATTCTAGACACACAATCCCTAGACATGCCAAGAATCTGCACACTGTTGGTCCTTCCGTGTAGAATGTAATTTACTTAGGTACTACGACAGGACCATCCTGGTACTGAGGACTCATCACCTCCAAAAGGCCTTCATGGGCAGATCTATCTGACGTAACATCCCTTCCTCTCCATAGTTACTCTTTCCTAATACCTGGTTTTATTTTATTTTTCTCATAGCACTGAAACTATCAAATTATCTTATGTTTGAAATTAACCCACTAATAATAAAGACTTTGTCTTTTCAACAGCTAGAACATTGCCTTACATGTGAAAGATTCTTAATCCATATGTATTAAATATTGAGCCCATATTCCTCAATGGGGGTGCCTGGCTGACTTGTTGTGGGATGGTTACAATTAACTCCAAGTTCCTAGTAATTCCTGAATCACTCTGTAACTCCATCCCTCTTCACCCACTAAAGAAAGCTTAATGAATTGTGAAGTAGAATAATGTTATAATTGAATTTGTTCTAGTATATTTAATTTTCAAACTGTGACGATTTTCTAGTTATAATTTAAAACATTAAAATATTTCATTTTGGACTAATTTTAGACTTACAGAAAACTTACAAAAATAGTACATAGTTCCCTTGTATGCCTCATCTAGCTTCTAATGTTACTATCATAGAGAACTATAGTACTATCAGCAAAATTGAGAAATTAACATTGGCACAATACTATTAACTAAAGTATAGATTTTATTCAAATACACTAGTTTCTCTAGTAATGTTCTGTTGCTTTATTCTATCTAGGATCCCACATTGCATTTCATTTTTATTTCTTATGCTCCTTCTTTAAAATAACAGGTCTTAAAAAGCAGGTTGTCTTTTTTTTATTAAGTTCTAGGTACAATTTATATATTCTAGTAATGAATCTTTTGTTAGACATGTGCTGTGAAGTGGTTTTTCCAGATTGTGGTTTGCCTATTCATTTGCTTTTTAGAATTTAATATATTTTTTTAAATTTTTATTTTTAATTATAGTTAATATTTGATCTTATTTTATATTAGTTACAGGTGTACAGCATAGTGGTCAGACATTTAGATAATTTACAAAGTGCTTCCATGGATAAGTCTAGTACCCATGTAACACCAAGCATAGTTGTGGCAATATTATTGCTATGCTCTATGCTCCACTTTACTCACCAGGTTATTTTTGTAACTGCTAATTTGTGCTTGTTAATCCTTTCACCCTTTTTTTACCTGGCCTCCCAACTCCCCTTCCCCTATGGCACCCATCAGTTTGTTCTCTGTATCTATAATTCTGCTTCTGTTTTATTGGTCCATTTATTTTGTTCTTTAGATATTAGATATAAGTCAATTCATATGATATTTGTCTTTCTTTGCCCAATTTATAACTTTTAATTGATTTCTAGTCTAATTCCATTCTGTGAGAAGGCATATCCTTAATAATTTAATCTTTAAAAATTAATTGAGAGGATTTCAGGTCAAGATGAAGGTGTAGGTAAACATGACTCTGTTGCAAAAACCACATCAAAATTACAACTAAACTCTACACTATCCATCATTCAGAAGCATCAGAAAATCAAGCTGAATGGAAGACTGACAGTATGGAATTAAACAAGAAACTACCTCCATTCAGACTGGTAGGAGGGGTGGAGACCTAGATACATGGAGATGTGGAGACACGGGGATGTGGAATGGGCTGGTCCCATATCCATGTGTGGTGAATAAAAATTTGGGAAAGATATCTGAGGAGTGAGGATTCCTAACCCCCTACTAGCCCCCTGGCCCAAGGTTCCAGTGCCAGGAAGATAAATAAAAACGAGTGAGGATTGGATTGGTGGAAGAAACTTCCGGAGTCCCAGGTGTTTCCTCTTAAAGGTCCTGTGCACAGACTTACTCAGACACGCTCCCTCTGGGCTCCAGCAACAGAGCAGAAGCTTGAAGGGAACCAGTGGCATATGCAGAGGATTAAAGTGTCTCCTCGCATCAGGGTGAGAGCAGGGGGATAGCTTTCTCTGGACAGAACTGCTGGCAGAGGCCATTGTTCATTTTCTGAGCCCTCCCCCAACACAGCCATACAGGATGGCAACATATCTGAGACTCCATCAGCCTGGCTCACATGGTTTGCCCCACCCTAGTGATTCTCTGAGGTATCTCACCCAATTTATGGCCCCACCCAAACTGTTAACAGTGGCTTTTCCATGTGAATGGCTTGTCTTGGTTCATGCTTCAGATCTTCCTAAATCCTTTCAAATAAGAAATAGCCAGCCTCAGTGAGCCTCTAGTCCCCATTCTACTTGCTAAGTGTTCCCAGGCCTGGCACTAGCAGCAGCTGCCCTTGGGTCACAGTTTGGCCTTACTGAGGCACCTCCAAGCCCAGCACAAATAACAGCCATAAGCAGATTGCTTTATAGTTTATGCTAAGTGGACCCAGACAAACATCGGTGGGGTATGACCTTAACCTGCACCGCCTAGGGAACTCCAGAGCCTTTGCACCCAATGACATCTACAGTACTAACACCCAACCACCTCCACAAGCCATGGAGAGCAGGGGTTGGTGGCCAGTGGTCACAGACTGTCCTGGCGGCTGACTGGCCTGTGTAAATACCTCCCATTGACCTGCCAAGAACAACCAAGGCTCAACTACAAGAGAAAGGTGTACTCAGCTCACATGGAAGACTCATCCTGAGTACTCAGCTTGGGTGATAGAGGAAGCTGTGCCACTGGACCTTATAGGACACCTACTACATTAGGTCACACTACACAGACAGGAAGTCATAGCAGTTCTGCCTAATACACACAAACAAACACAGGAAGGCTGCCAAAATGAGGAGAAAAAAGAAACCTGACCCAAATAAAAGAACAGAAACAAGCTTCAGAAAGGAACTAAACATAATGGATATAAGCAATCTATCAGGTGCTGAGTTCTAAACACTGATTATAAGGATGCTCAAGGAACTTAGTGGGTATCACGACAGCATTAAAAAGATCCAGTCAAATAAAGGATATACTAATTAAAATAAAGAACAATTTATAGGGAATCAATGAAAGAGTGGATAAAGCCAAGAATCAAATCAATGATTTGGAACAGAAGGAAGCAAAAAACAACCAATCAGGATAATGAGAAGAAAAAAAGAATCCAAAAAAAAAATTATGGTAGTGTAAGGAACCCCTGGGACAACTTCAAGTGTACCAATATTCACATGATAGGGGTGCCATAGGAGAAGAGAAAGAGCAAGAAATTGGAAATCTATTTTAAAAAATAATGAAAGAACACTAATTTGATGAAGGAAATAGGCATGCAAGTCCAGGAAGCACAAACAGTCTCAAACAAGATGGACACAAAGAGACCTACTGCAAGTCACATATCATAATTAAAATGCCAAAGGTTAAAAATAAAGAGAAATCTGAAAAGCAGCAAGAGAAAAGTAGATAATTGCCTACAAAGTAGTTCCCATAAGACTGTCAGCTGATTTCTCAAAAGATTTTTGCAGGTTGGAAGGGATTGGTAAGAAATATTCAAAGTGATGAAAAGTGAAGACCTACAACCAGGGTTACTCTATCCAGCAAAGCTATCATTTAGAATTGAAGGGCAGATAAAGAGCTTCCCAGACAAGAAAAGCTAAAGGAGTTCATC